AATAGTCCATGTATTGGTTCTTATTAGAGCATCAAGTTCTGTGTTGACAGCTGCATTCCAACGCTCATCCTTTGCTGCCTCGTGATAACTAGTAGGTTCCGAGATAGAACTTACTGCATTGACAAAACTAGAATGACCATCAGCAAGGTTAACATTAGAAATAACAGAAGATAAAGGGTAGGGGATAGACGAGTTAACCGTAGAATTGCAAACATAATCTTGCAATCAGGCAGGACGTTGTCTATTCCTGACTGGACGACCTTGTGGTTCGTCATCAATGTCGCCTTCCTTCAATCCCGCTTGATTATAGTTTCATTTAGGGTTCTGTTGAGTTTTTCAAAGTGGGTATTCGAATATTACAATATTCCCAACCTGGGTTGACTCAAATTTTCTTTTCTAATTAATTACTGACGTTGGTTTTGTATAGGATTGCAGGTTGTCGATAAGTTCACCAGTATCCTTTTCTTGGTACAGGTGAACCACCGAAGAACCTCCCACAGTAAAGAAGACAGCGAAGCAGATTGGAAGACATATTAGGCGAAATGAGTACAACCTTCCACTATATAATATATTGTTTTCGACTTCTGTGTGAATAATGAGTATAGAGTAGAGACACTAGACTGAGTTTTGATAGCTCATGTACGTTCAGTATTCATGAACACTCGGTCACTGAAAACTGGCAAAAGAGCGGCTATTGGTGGCTTCCAGTAGTTGAGAGTTGCCTTCATCAATTTGATGCGAGACCTTGACCTCTAATTGCTTTTTTGTTTGTTTGCCAAATTTCAAGTTTCATTAATTGCCTTTCGGTTGATGGTTTGCCTTTTTCATTCTAATCCGTTGGATTACAACATGCTAATATCACATGTCATAGTTCGCTCTGGTGTTGCAGTCTTATAGATTAAAATGAGTTTATGGTAATGTCATGCTTTCATTCGTTTTTTCTTTGATATTAATGATTACTTCGTCTGTATGCTTTTCATTTTGGTGTTGTGCTGCTACTCCAAGCTCTATTGCTGTTTCGGGTATTTTTGGCAAGAACACAACATACCAAAAAGTTAAATGTGGTGCTTATGAGTTATGACAAACACTGCTAGCTAGAAACATAAAAACTCCCTGATTCTAGGCGAACACTAATTTTGATTTATATGTGAAAGAGTGAAGAACCGTAGGCAGAAACAATAGAAGGGACATGGCATTGTCGAGCTACCATTACTCCGATGTCTCTCCTTCTTCGGTCTGCTCCTTGGACCCGGATTGAGTTCGTACCCCGACGGCTTAACCGACTTGCAGATTGGGTTGCTTGCCAAGCTAGGGAAGTTTCGTTACCTTTGGAATGGATCTTAATTGTTAATATTATTGCACCATTGTTGTAACGAACATTTGGGGCCTTTTCGGATGAAATACAAGGATTCTCTGATTGTAAAAAAAAAAAAAAACAATAGAAGGGATGGGATGGTTGTTTCAGCCAGAGCATCACTCAAATGACGTGAGATAATTATTTTTACTTAATTACAGCAACCAACAGGAATCAATCAATTCCGGGAGTAATAGAACATAATTATGCTTTCAAGTATATATCTTTTTACACGAAATTCATCCGACCAACAGGTCGGTTAAAAGTCTAGAAAGTAAATTTTACATTTATTGTATCGATCTACCACAGTTGTTAAACCTTTGAGTGGTTTCGAATGAAAATTGATATGAACTAAGTGATTTTGTTCAAAATTTTAGTCCACCTGATTTAGTAACATATGCCATGGCTTCTTCATTGAGAAATAGCATGGTTAAGTTTTTGGTAATTCAGTATATATATTGAACTGTTAATTGTAATATGTATACCATGACTTCTTCATTGAAGCATGAAATTTGATAAATTTTAGTGCTTAAATAGATATTGAAAACATGAATTGGTAGTATCATTTGCTCCTAAGCCCTAACTTTCATTCATGAGCATCACATTTTGACTCCTATCATTCAATCATCCCATGTTGGTTACATTTCCTAACCTATTATAGATGGAATCAACATTGACGAAAAAAATGGGCTATGTAGTAAGGTTTTAATTTTCAAGCTTTAAGAATTTAGTGGTTTTAGTTTTCACCATGTATCGATATCATTATTGTCAACAAAAAAATGAACCAAATACATTTTATTAAACTCAATAAAAAATTAACAAATCATTTTCACTTGGGATTGGTGGAGCCCTTTTTAGGAAATCAGTTTCTTTTTGTGTTTTTTTACAAACGTTTGGGAAATCTATTTGGGTAAATGCCCAAAAATAGCCAAACTTTTCAACTTTTGGACATAAATAGCCAAAACTATTTAAAATGCAATAAAATAGCCAAACTTTTTAATTTGCTAGACAATTCTAGTCACCCGTTAGTTTCATAGTTAACTGTAATGACGTGGCAAACGGAGATAGTGACATGGACAAATAATGTTGACGTGCAATTTAAATCCAATTTTTCCAATATAATTTTCCAAAATTAATTATGCAAAAAGAAAACAAAACAACCACGTCAAATTAACCTAATCCCTCTCTTCTCTTTGACAATCCATTCCAACTCTATCGCCGCCATCTTCTCCTGGCGTATCCCTCTTCCAGCAAGCCGCCATCGCTCTCCTCTTTCGGCAAACCGAAGCCAACTCAACCCTTCTACAGCCCGCTGTCCAAATGTGAAGTTAGCTCAGCCTGTCTAGTACCTTTCTTCTCTGGAATTTGAGATTAAGACTAGAACCCTAATATTTTCTTCCTTCAAATCGAATCGTAATCAACCGATTGATTTCTCTGCAAGGTTATATAGAAGTTGAGACATTTCAAAAGAGTTGGGAGAGCTGTAAGTGTTGAGGAAGGTTTTAGCTGCAGCCTAATCGGTGGCGGTGGTTTTTTTTTTTTTTTTTGAGGTGAGTCCTTTTTATTGTTATCTACTTATCTTTATTCCTCTCAGGTTGTTTAAGGGTTGTTGGGAGGACCACAGTAGGACACGTCAAAGCGGATTTGAAATAGTTTTGTTTCTTTGATTTGTTTAGTTGAGGCTGAGATTCCGATACTATTGCTGTCTTTTGTTTATCAGCTTATTTTATGGCTATACTATAGTAGGTCCCATGGAACTTTTACTGTGTGTTTTTTTTTCATAGATGGAGCTTTTGCTGTGTTTCCTGGCCTGCCATTTACTTAGAACTCTTATTCTCCAGCATAAAAGTTATATTGAAGCAATTAAATTTGTCCCCACTCCTAACATACAGAAGTAGAAAGAGACACCTACCCAAAAACAAAAGGAAGTAGAAAGAGACACCAATATATTATTAGGCTTGTGTTACTTTGTTCTTTTTCTTGCTTTCATTATATTAAATAGCTTGTTATTTTTGGATTCTCATTAGGTTCTCGTTTAACCAATACAGTAAAGAATATCTAACAATGTGTTTGAATGACTAATCTACAATGGTTCATGTTTAACCAATACTAAGTACATAAGCATAAACTAATATAAGTTTGATTTTCATTTTGATGTGCAGATGACAGAATATCTTGAACTTGATTTTGATCACGGAAGAATGATGGACTTCTCGGAAGATGTCCCACGCTATGTTGGGGGTTTTTCGGTGAAGGATGAGATGTCCTTCTTTGAAATTGTGAATGTGGCTACTGTATATCTGAAGTATGTATCTGTCCGCAAAATTTGGTATTTGACTCCCGAAGCTAGCATGGCTACTGGTCTACACGAGGTGAGAAATGATGAGGATGTGATGAAAGGGTTGTTGGTCGATGCTGCAAATACTAAGGTCATCTCAGTATTTGTAGAAGTTGTTGATCCGAATGATGGTGCGATGGGTGACAATAACGAAGTAAATGCCGGTACAGATTTTGTAGGGCAGCATGGTAACAACTCTGTGGCTAGGGAGATACATCATGTTATTGATTCGAATGATGCGATAACTTCGGATGAAGACTACATTGAAGGGCTGTCAATTATGAAAACGCTGGGATTGAGAAGGAGGGTTGCAACATGGGATTATGCTTCTGGGGAAGAGGTGGGCCAACCTAATGAAATGGTGCGAGTTCCGCAAGATTCTGATGATGATGATGTTTCATATTATCCCGATGAAGAGGATAATTTATCATATTCTAATGAAGATGTGCCAGCTTTTTATTCTAATGAAGAGGATCCTCCTTCTAACGATTATCAACAAGTGCAAGAAGAATCAACTTCTTATTATAAGAGATCTGAAGCTTCAGATCATGTAAGACCAGACGTATTAGACGATGAGCATGTTGAAATTTGTTGAAATTTATGCAAATCTTCCCTCTTATGATCCAGGATGTGATCACAAGGCATTGGAATTCACTTTGGGACTTAAATTCATAAGTCCTGAACAGTTCAAAGCTGCTGTACAGAAGCATGCAGTTGCTTCGGGGGCTAATGTGATATGGACAAGAAGTAATCCAAATAGGAGGGAGGTAAAGTGTAAGGTCAGTACCTGCGGATGGAGATTGTATGCTGCTTGGTGGGGAGAAATGTAATATTTTATGACAAAAATGTGGGATTCTGCAGGGGTTGGTTGAAGCAATTAATTCAATAATGCCTAGTGCAGAGCATAGGAAGTGTGCTCGTCATGTCTTTGCTAATTGGAAAGTTAAGAATAAGAATCAGCAAATGCGTGATACTTATTGGGAAGCTGTGTACGCTTGCAATGAGCCGGAGTTCAAAGCCGCCACTAGTGCAATGGAAGCTTTCCAAGGTACACAAACTGACATGACCCCATATACAGACTTCATGGAACAAGAACCCATCAGATTTTGTAGGGCATTTCTATCCAGAATTCCAAAATCAGACTCTGTTGAGAGCAACATATGTGAGAGTTGGAATGCAAGAATATTGAAGTTTAGGGAGTACCGAATTATTGCAATGCTTGAGGGTATAAGAGGTTACTTGATGGTTCGGATACGAAAGAAATATAAACTATTTGAGAGAACTAAAGGAAAGATATGCCCACGTATCATGAAAGAGCTAGCAATTGTTGACAAGAAATCTAAGAAATGTATCCCACGAGCTAGTACTGATAATCTAGTTGAAGTGAGACTACAGTCTACAGGGTTTGTAGTCGATTTGGGAATACATAGTTGTACTTGTGGCTATTGGGATTTGAGTGGAATCCCTTGCATTCATGCACTTTCTGCAATAGCACATTCGAGATTACATGTTGAGGATTTTGTGCATCATTACTATCATGTCTCGACGGTGAGGAAGGCATATGCCGAGGGCATTCCGTGCTTGGTGGGTTCACAAGCATGGCCTAATGCTGAAGGGTATCTGATACATCCTCAAATAACAAGAGCAATGCCGGGTCGGCCTAAGAAGAAAAGAAGCCAGTGAACTTGAGGCACGAGTTGAAAGAACTGGTTCTGGTGTGGCGATGAGAAGAGATGGTATGGTGATGCATTGTAAAAAATGCCAGAAAGGGGGACATAACTCAAGAACATGTCCAAATCCACCCGCTACAGAAGCTGGCCAAGGTGGAGAACCGCTAAGAGGGCAGCGGGGTGGGCGTGCGCGAGGTAGTGGGCTGCGAGGTGGTTGCGCACGAGGAAGTGGACAAGAAGAGTCAAATACAGAGGTCAACCGACCAAAGGTACTATTATTCGAAGGATCGAGTTTTCATAGCTTAGTCCAACCTACTGCAAATGCTAGTGAGTTTATTTCATTTTCAAACTTAATAGAGGACGGTGCACTGCTCAGAATGTCAACAAGATGGTCACAATGCAAGGAGTTGCCCTTCGAATGCAGGAATTCAAGTAAGTGTCTTGCTTTGAAAGAATGTGACTTTATCATTTGTGAAAAGAATGCTGCTAAAAAGTTTACCTTCTGCAGACAAAATTAGTGGCTTCACCATATGGAAACAGAAGTTCATTTCATTTTTTTAACTCTTATCACACTTTATCCTTTACAGCTTAATGGTGCTAATGGAGCTGGAGCATCTGCAGCATTTGTTGGGAGCCAAGTGCCAACTAATAGAGATTGACACCGTGCAAGTGCCTGCAACTCAACCACTAGAGTGATGGACTCTTTAGCAGAATTTGCAGCTTAATTAGTAGACACTAATTAGAAAAACAGAATTTAGTTTCATCGATATGGCTGGATTGTCTTTTGTTTTGTGGAAGCAACTATTGTTTTGTCTTTTGTACAAGCTCATTCTGGATAATTTCCAGTACACGATATGGAAATACTTTTCCAGGTGCACGAATGTATGTTTGCGTTGTGATCTTATTCCCCTTGAGAAGTTGTCGATTTAATTACTTAGTTATAATGATTCTGATTGTTAACAGAGCTGAAAAATTAGCTACTGCGTCACCTATAGAAAATACTTAATGCTTCAATTAATTTAAAATACATCTTTTTTGCTTTACCCATTATTAAAAGAAAAATATAAAAATTACGGTTTTCTAATTTGAAAAAAGGCTAACGTGGACTAAAGCTGACATGGATAATGATGTGGCGATGATGTGTCAGCCACGTCATCATAGTTAACTGTGAATTAACGGATGGCTAAGAATTGTCTAACCGAATCAAAGTTTTGGTTATTTTATTGCATTTTAAATAGTTTTGGCTATTTATGTCCAAAAGTTAAAAGGTTTGGCTATTTTATGGCATTTACCCAATCTATTTCGTTGACATGTTTCTCTTGTTACTTGGGTTGGGGATTGTATGGGGCCGAATCTTCTTTTACTTAAAACTTCTTTGTATGTATCAAAATTAAACTAGCTTATAACCCGACCCGTTGGTCGGAGAAGCTGAGCTGAATATTGAATCTATGAATTCTTGTTCAAGCCTTTCTCTATGCTGCAAGCTACAGCAAATCCCTCCAAAAAGAGGCTAAAAAAGCAGCCAACTTACTAAATAGCACATGAACATGTGATCTGGGAAAATGGTATTAAGACAAAGGCATGAGTACTTGTGTAAAGAAAAAGGATCACTGCAACTTAATAAAGGAGACATCATACATCCACAAACATGATAAAAACAGAAGCAGTTTCATGCTTGAACATACTGCATATTGTTTGAAAACACAAACTGAAATAGCTTCTAACTTAGTAATTAAACAACTAAACAATTATAAACCAACACACCCATTGCTTTATCCATTGCAAAGTTCTACAAAAGCTTAGATCTGAATTGTCTAAGTTGACTCGTTCTGGAAAGCGGTTCTCAATTATCAGTATCTGACATTGTAGGAGTTTTCCTCTCGTAGCTAGCTCTTAAAGATAGGCACCCCGTAGATTGAAATTCTTTGCCAGGGAAGTTCAGTGTGCATTGCATCATCAATACCTGAGGAAACACATGGATTCTTGTTGACACAGTTGAGTCCACGTGCTTCAGTGGTTGTATCACTGATTTGAGTAGCAGTTTGGCTTTCATTGCCCACACGCACAACGCTCACTTCATGGTCACTACTCAAACCGCTGGCAATGGATTGAGATGAATTTCCTTTGTGAAGGGTGGATATATATAGGCTTCTGCAAAACGTAAGATCCAAATTTTAACTTATATAGTATGTTTCTACTTCTTTGAACATGTAAAGTCAGAGGGTAGAGATTCATTCTTTCTTGAGAGATAAATATTAACTTAGATAATCTTAGGATAGTATCCATGCACAGGATGTAAAACCGATCAAGGATAGAGATTCATGTTTTGCTTTTTAATATTGTTGCAATATAAAGACATAGGATAGTTTCTGTGGATTATTTTTTGACAGCAGTGGAAGTAAAAAAGATCCATGTAGCCACACTACTAACCATATATGCAAGCAATGTACAATACTAACCATATATCCAAGCAAAGGATTACCTATCATGTCCAAGGGGTGCTTCTGCAAAGCGAGCGAGTTGAGGGCTCGCTCCACTCCAAGAAAATGGACACAACTGAACCTGTATGTACATAGCAGCAACTGGAATGGAAATGATGGTCAGAAAAATGGACCGGTCAAAAATCTTCAAGATAAGGGGGCTAAGGTTATAGCTAAGGACTAAGAACAGAAAGAGACAGCTGGATTGAGGATTCTCGTTCACTAATTGGAACATAATCCATGTCTGGAGGGAGGGATCACTAAATGAATGAATAAGATAATGAGAACGGGAATATCTACTCGCACTGGACGGAATCAAGACAACCAGCGAGAAGAATACAAACCCTATAAAGAAGATAAGAACAGATTGAGAGATACAATCTAGCCAAAACATCCAATAAGTGGGAAATTAGAACTCGAGAGTCATGGAAGCTACCCATACATTGAACCAAAGGTTATATCATTGTAGATGAATCAAAATATACAATTCCGCTATCAGATAAGAAACTTAGGAATGAATTTTAAGGAAAACATTATCTATGGAGAGTGCAATTCGACGAATCGGAATCCGGGTTGTGGGGCGATCTAGGCGGTGCAGTTGTGGAAGCCGGTCTGCGCAAGCATACAAAATCGATTGGCTTCCTTACAGAGGAGGAGGGTAGGTGCGGTGGAGGGGAGTTGACGACCAGTTAGGAGATAGGGTGCTCGGAAGCTTTGGCCGACAACGCTTTTTTCTTTGTGGGCCGAAACACTGTCTAGGCCCGTTCCAACCACCAGGGCTCTTTTCCCTTGTGTGCGCCGAGACGGGTTGCCTACATATTTGTTTCCGAAAATACCCCTCCGAAAAACGCTCCGGAGGCAGCAATTTTGAAATGGGGAAGCTGTTTTCCCCTTCAGCGTATTATAAGTATAGTACGCTGAAGGGGAAACACGGACTCACCTGCCAAACTTGTTTGGATTGAGATTTTTATCGGGTATCAGGGAACCATGTGATTATAAATTAGACTTGATCAAAACGGGCCAAAACTTGAAATTCATCCTGTTTGACCAACCCATGTCAAATTCTAATTATTCTTTACTTTTAAACTTTCTATTTGAAAATAAAAAATAGTGAAAGAAAAGAGATGACTGCAATTCGCCATTTGCACATCACTTATTCGGGAATAAAACCATAGAAATTCAAAAGGAACTGAAAATGTTTAGGATCGTTTTAATGTTTAAAATAACAAATAGATCTTTTTGTTTAGTTTTTACTAACAAATATCAAATTATTCCCTATAAAATACACTGTAATTTGATCATTATGATATCAAATAATTATATAATATATATTTGAAATGATAAAAATTGGACTAATTGGGTTGGTCGAGGTTGAACCATTGAATAACTTTAAAATACATTATATTTTAGCCACTAAGATATAAAATAATAGCATAATATATATTATGCGAAAGAAAATAGCTTGTTTTAGAATGTCAAACCAATGATGTTTATTTGTTTTACTTGATGGCCAAATCTCGTGTAGGTCAGGCCCATTCAATTCTTTTATTTTATGGTTAGCGGTTAGCCCATTAGATACCATGCATTAGTTTATTGTTAAATTTTTTATTTTTAGCAATAAAAAGAAGTATTATTTTTGCCTTTTCATATATATTTTATCACCACGAAGAAATAAAAGGGCTTAAAGAAAAAATTGACACTTCTGGACCCGTTCAAATTCGCATGTGTACGGTAAGTTGGCCCATTCCACAGAGGAAAGAGAAAAAAATTGACACTCCCTATTCTACCCTTCCTACAAATGCTCCTGGAGCAAGGAATTTGAAATGGGGGAATGGTTTTTTCCTCCCTGATATTATATGTAATTAATTTAAAAAGATACAACTAATGTACTTAGTGTGATTGGTTATGATCATTGCTTTTCTTAAAAATTGTCATGGTTCAAATCACAGTACGTGTCTTTTTAATGAATAAAAAAAAGTAATTGTGAAGACCAAAATGTCCTTCCTACTTTCACTCTCGTTGCAGGAAATTTGAAATGGGGCTCCCGTTTTCCCTTCGGCGTATTATAAGTATAGTAGATAGATTGACAGGCCAAATGACATAATAACTGCTAAACGTGCTCCCAATTGTTTAAAGACAAGTAACCATGTTACAAGATAAATTTTATTGACGACGTGTGTAATAATTGGGTCGATTATAAGTTTGATTTTGTTGGATTGTGTTTACGATTACATGAGAATAAGATTCCTCAAAAAATTTGATGGACCCAAAATTTTAAAAACTATAGGTGTGAAATACATCTCTGATATGTCCAACTCAACAACCTTTGCCATTGTTTTTCCTTGGGACCATAACGACACCCTTAGGTTGAGTCAATCAGTCTGAGTCACTTTTGAAATCAATAGCCCTGACACCCCAAAGGGCAATAACATCAATCACTCTCCGACCCTGTGTAGTAGAACACCTCCAAGGTTAATTTTTTGGATAATGGTGAAAATTGCATAAAACAAAGAAAGAAAGTCCAGAGAAAGTCCAGAACATGGCTGGGGTTCACAAGCAATGAACCACCCCCAAGCAGCACCAACAAATCGATCCGGAAAAACAAAAGCCACAAAACAAGCATAAACAAAAAAAGACCGCAACTCAGTGGACCCAACCACAGCTGTTGCAAACCCGAAAGCCCATTCAAGCCAACACCCAAACCCTGCACAGACACTTAATTCGCATAAGCTGCAATCACAAAGGCTGCAAAAGTCAAGAAAACCTATTAATACTTTGCCCACCCAATCTCCTTAGCGTCTCCAACTTCTCGGCCAGCCACTGATAATCTTGATCTTTCCTGACTTTGTTCCTCACAACCGTCCATTCCATAACTGACCTGATAGCACTTCGAGCCACCACTTCAGGACTATTCTTGGTGTCGCGGAAGATGCGCCTATTCCTTTCCAACCACAGGTGCCACCAAACAGAATGCAGCAGACAATAAATAACCCACTCAGAAATTCCATCAGGATCTCTTCTCGCCCATCTCTCAATAGTAGCAAGGGCATCCCCCCTCGGAGGATCAATGGTCCTGCAAATGTGTTGTATCCTTCTCCAAACAAGTAGTCCAAAGTCACAGCTAACAAGCAGATAATCAACGGTTTTCTCGTTCTTAAGACACAATTCACACCGATTTGCCATCACCCAGCCCTTCTTCTTAAGGTTGTCAATAGTGGGAATCCTCTTATGAGCGACTAACCACATGAAAGCACAGACTTTGGAGGGTATGACATTTTTCCAAATTGATTCAGCAGGAAATTGCTCTATCCTCGGGAATCGACTGTCACGGAGCACCCTGTACATAGATCTTACCGAAAAAGAAACATCTTTATGGGGAGTCCAGACCACTCTACATGGTCCACTACTCGCCCTATTAGTGCCAAAATTGTTCAAAAAAGCAATCAGATTACCCTATTCTCCCTTTACTCCGCACTTGGCCAAATGGGTTTTGCATTATTCTATACATTGATTAATTTATAATTATACGCATGAGTAAGTAAAGAATAATGCAAAACTCATTTGGTCAAGTGCGGAGTAAAAGCTAGTTTATTAATAAAAAAAAGGGTTAATACCTTAATTTGGTCCGAACTATATACATACTTTCTACTTTGGCCCGTGGTATTGGAAATTGTTATTCTGGCCTGAACTATGTAGCAAACTTCCTCATTTGGCCTGGAGGCGAGTTTGACCATTAAATTAGACGGTCAAACTTGTTGACCGTTAGTCAATGTCCACCTCACCTGCCACGTCAGCTTTGAGGACATAATTTTTTTTTTATTTCCGAATTTTGTTTTCTTGTCATTTGCTAGAAATGAGACCTTTTTTCGTTCTTTTAATTAATTTTTTTGATTTATGATTTTTATTAATCGAAAATAAACAAAATTCAGAAATAAAAAAAATAATTTTTTATGTCCTCAAAGCTGACGTGGCAGGTGAGGTGGACATTGACTAACGGTCAACAGGTTTGATCGTCTAATTTGACGGTCAAACCCGGCTCCAGGCTAAATGAAGAAGTTTGCTACATAGTTCAGGTCAGAATAGCAATTTTCAATACTACGAGCCAAAATAGAAAGTATGTGTATAGTTCACACCAAACTAAGCTATTAAAAAAAAAACGAGTAATAGTTTTCTGGTGGCGGGCAGTGCTCGAGTTTCCAGATATTTAGCAAGGCACGCTACCAGTAACTGCTTCGCTCCCAACCGATCTATGGCGGCCCTTCTTTCTCTTTCCCCCGGCTCTGTTATCAACCAACCGGCTACTTCTCACCAATCAAGAAAAACAATTGTTTGTCGCCGGATCGCCCGAATCCGATGCGGTAAAGCAAGCCCATCGACAGATCCGTCAGCCAAGCAGGAGGAGACCGGGAACAATGCGATACTGAAGCTGGCTTGGTACGGGTCGGAGCTCCTGGGAGTCGCCGCCTCATTGTTCCGTCCGCCGCGGGAAGTCGAATCTCCGCTGAAGGGCGTCGAACTCGCGAGGGACGGTTCAGGAACCCTTGATCACTCCGCTGTGGTCCAGGCCATCAAACAAGACTTCCAGAGATCGTATTTCGTCACAGGTTGCCATCATTCGAATAGAGTCTTTTGTCCGTTCTAGTTAGTTTGAGTTGAATTTTGACAGAATGAACTCTTGATATGTACTGGGTTAGGGAACCTTACACTTGAGGCATACGAAGAGAATTGCGAGTTTGCGGACCCAGCTGGTTCATTCAAAGGGCTTCGCCGTTTCAAAAGGAACTGCTCGAATTTCGGGTTGCTTATTCAGACGTCGAATATGAAGCTCACCAATTGGGAAGACTTTGAGGTATCGAGTCAGAATGTATATACGATTGATTGATTGATTGATTGATAGCAACAAACTGATGGCATGCTTATTCGTTTACCGGATCTGGATTTTCCACTTGGGTCGGCTGTTGCAGGATAAGGGGATTGGGCATTGGAAATTCAGCTGCATAATGTCATTCCCATGGCGGCCCATTCTTTCTGGTACTATATTATTATTATTACTATAATTGTTGTTGTTGTTGTTGTTACTGCTTGCCTCAGTAATATGGTGGTGACTCGCTGTGTTTGTTTTTATTTCCTCAGCAACTGGGTTTACAGAGTACTATTTTGATCCCCAAACTGGACGAGTTTACAGGTAAATTTGTTGCATTTCACTGCGCAATGGGGACTCCTCCAATTCCAAATGGGATGCGCTTTTGCAGCGATATACTGGGACCTTCTTTGAATTTGTGGGACAAATCCTGCAGGCATGTGGAGAATTGGAATGTGCCCAAAATGGCGCTTCTAAAGCAGCTGTTGAGGCCCAGCCGAGGTAGCAGCAAAACCAAGGCCCCAGAGTGAGATGAGGTAAGCCAATATCATCATCCAACACAAGTTGAGAACGAGATACAACTGTTATTATTTATGGTCTCTGAAAAAAAGATTTGGTTGACATGAACCAGTGGCAGCATCTTTGTCTGTGTATTTCCTTAATACTTGTATAGATTGGGATTTTCAAACCTTGATCACTTTAGACTGAAGCAAACAATTTCCGCCCGTCCGGTCTTTCAATCTGACAAGCCTCCAGGATAAGGTTAGGTAACAGCAATTTGGATCAACCGGTCAAACCGTAGATCGTTTTTGTCCTAAGCGATTAAGGTGTAGATTAGTTTGGTTTTGTCCTGAGCGATGAAGTAGTAGATTCCTTACCCTCTAAAACGATCAATTCACAAACTGGACAAAATAAATAATGTTCCCTACCACTCATTTCTACCCAATCTCATTTCCTCCTCCTCACTTACAGAAGAAGCAATAATAGAAGCTTCCTTCAACTTTCCTCTTCATCCCACCGATCTCTGCATCTTCATTACCTCAACTTCATTTGATAAAGTAAGAATGAATTTGTTTAATATACTTACATTTAAGTAGTTATGTTTTGGGGCCCATAATGGATTGGAATTGAGAATACCATTCGAGAAACTAGGACACCTCGACATGATCAATCTAGATAATTCGTAGGATTAGTGAGAGATGACAATGTTGGCGGTGACGGTCACAATAATCCCATATTCGAAAGATCCGGTTATCCGTACAAAAGCGGCCAGAAATATGATGAAGATGTGAGATTTGTGAATGAGAAAGAAGACAATGAAGGGAATGATGAGGATAGGGGTTGCGTCATCCCCCTACATCTTACTACACAAATATCCCACCTATATCTTATATGATCACAATGATAACCCCGACTTTCTCCCTATGCAATATGGAACCCAATGCTTGAGTTGAAGGTGGTATGACATTTCCTATGAAGGAAGTTGTGGCTAATGCTTTCAAAGAAGAAGCAATTAAAGGGAATTTTGAGTGGAAGATAAAATATTTTGACAAAAAACTACTTCATGTCATATGCAAGAATTATGGAGATAACTTATAGTGGGAATTATAGGCTACATGGATGAAGAGAAAGGGGCTTCAATAATTAGCACAACGCATAACAACCATAGTTGCTTCTCGTGCATACTTTCGCACTACCACCACCCAATGAATACGGAGAAAGTGAGTGTCACTATCAAACACTTGATTGAGGCACAACCAAACATCACCATCAAAATTATCATGGTTAGAGTCAATGATTACCAATTCTACACAATCAGGTAAAATAAGGAGCGGCATGGAAAGCAAAAAGCCATGGATAACATGTATGGTGATTGTGACGACTCATATGCTCTCCTCCCTAGATTGATTTCGAAGATGGATACATCTAACCTCGAGAAAGTTTTTGTGCCATGGTACAACAATGTAGAAACTAGTGACTAGGTTTGGATACAAAGTGAGCACATGTTTCACCCTCTTCTGCTCATTCAAGCTATGCATTGATGGTTGGGTTTCTTTCACCCAATGATCCCGGTCAATGGCACATTCTTTATTGTAAAGTAAAAAGATACAATTCTTATAGCCATAGGATTTAATGGGAACATGCAGATTTTTTCCTTTGCACTTCGTTAGTTTTTCGAGCATCTACATGAGCACATCACACATAGACAAAATACCATAATCTCTTATTGCCACCCGAGATTAGACACGCCATGTAAATTTTTTATGATGAATGGGGGTGGCGTGGCAATGGTGCATATGCCACTTTCTTAGAAAATACCAACACAAACATTTTAAGCGGCATGATGTTATGTTCTGTTCTACTCTTATCATTAATGTGTGCAATGTTTAATATAAACATAGTTTTTGTCAAATAACAACCATTGCCCACCAACCAAGAAAATATGAGTCGAAAATGAACGTTATCCGACAAATACAGCAGATGTGTGCATCATGAGCTAAAGAGTAAGATCAAGACATGTGGACATTGCGTATGGGTGTTGAGGTTAGGTTTGACATTTCCAAAACTAATTATGAGGAAACTATAACTAGAGTGTACAAGGGCTTCATGCAATGCCCATTCCTGCTACAGTAGAGATGACATACTCGAGAGCGAACTAGTGGTTTGCTAAAAGACTTCAACACTATGTTCATAAAGGAGGGAAAGGGGAGGGGAGGGAAAGGGAGAAAGGAAAGCACACCTTCCAATAAACTTTCCCCTGTTTTTATAGAGAATGAACAGTTAAAAGGAGAGGAAAATGAAAATAAATTTTACTGTGCAAGCCTACCCTCCGATTTGGAGAGAAAAGAGGCAGCGGCTTCTCATTTATTTTGCCCCATTTATTTACTTTTTTATTTTTATTTTCTTTTGGCAAGTTTCAATAACTTACGTTAGCTTACCTATATAATCTACTTCTCCTTTTAGTAAGTGATTTAATTAGTTTCAAAAATAAATAACTGTGGATGCTTATCGCCTAGCTTTTAAGTTGGAATGGAAATCTGTTTGTTTTGCGTGGGTTGATGGAAATGGTACTTTGTCCATCTATTTTAATTGTTGTATAATAGAAATCATATTTTATTATTAATATAAGATAATTATAGTGAATAATTATGGGACAAAGATTATCTTGAAAATAATATAAACACATAATTAAATTATAAGATAATTGTAGTTAACAAAATTAACAAAGAAGAACAAATTTAATCCACATTACATAATTAATGTAAATAATATAAACACATAATTAAATTATTTAACTATTCTATCATCAATAAAATATAATACATATCACAATTCCCAATCTACTTTTTCCCTCACACTTTCCATTCCACTTTCCTCCATTAAACAACATTTTCTTTCCAATTCTCTCTAATTTCCCTCCCTTCCAAACTTAACCTCCCCTCCAAATTTTCCTACCCTCCCCTCCTTTTCCTCCCTTCCTTCATGAACATAGTGCAAAAGACCATTTTGAGGGAGCATGCTGGAGAGGTGATGAAACATGAAAGGTAATATTTTAGAAGCCTATTTAATTGCATATTTTACATCATTTTCATATCCTCATTTTCTTATTACCTTGGATTTTCTTGATAAATACTCAAAGGTGTGTTTAGTAGTTCCTAGGATGACTTTTACTATTTTGATGCACCCTTGTTTTCAAATCCATAATTTGTCGTGAAATTTACGTGACCAAAGCCCAAAATGATGGTATAGGCACCGTTTCTGGAGAGTCCCGGATTAGCCCAAAAATGCATGGAAATTATTTACTTGGTGGCAAAGATGGAGGATAAGCTAAAGGGATTCGATTTTTTTAATTTTTCTCTCTCATCTAGTAGTTTAGGTTGTTTTCCTTTTCTTTTACTTTTGATTTTCGGCACAAACAATGGGAATGATTCGTTTCATTCTATACATATTTTTACCCCTTTGACTTGGTTGTTTGACTTGTTGAGCATGGACCTATTTTATGATAGATTTGGAATGTTTTAATATGTTTCAGGCCATAGTAGGTGAAATTGGCGAAAAGAATGAAATTCAAATGAAAGGAATCGAAAAGGGAGAAAAATGGTGAAAAGTGCATGAATCACGATTTGGTGGTGATTATCATGGGCAATAGACCGTGAACATTACAAGGAGGCCTTGAAGTTCGCAGATTTCCAGGAGCTTTCATTTGTCTCATGGTTGTAAGGATCATGGTCTCAGACCGTGAAGTCAGCATGGAAATCGTAAAGTGGTTAATGAAATAGTGCCTTTTGCACTAAAATTTTGATTTTATTGCATACTTCACGGGCGTGATGTGCAATCGTGAAACGTGCACAATCAAGCTATATATGGAGGAGATCAGATTTTTGAAGAGGTGGAGAGTTTAGAGTAAGATTGGGTTTCCTGTTCCTTAACCTAGAGAGAAACCTACGAACAAGGGAGAATTGAAGGTTGATTTGACCTACCCAAGTCAAGAGGAGGCAAGATTTTATCTCCAATGATCAATCCAAGCAATTCTTAAGGATAAGGATCAAGTTTCCATGGGTTTTCCCTCTTTTCTAGTTGTTGTTCTTTCTCTAGATATGGAGTAGTTTCTCTTTTCACTTGAATGATGTGATCTCTAGTCTAGGATGTTGTAGATTGATGTTTTTGAACTCTATGTGATGGTGGGCATGTTTAATTATATATTGATGTAGTATTTATCATGTAAATAGAGTGACATTGATCAATTTTATCAATTTTCGGGCAAATTGATCTAAGAAAGAGAAGGTCTCCTTATGGCGATTTGGGTCCCTAGTCAATCATTGTAGAGAGCCATGGATTAAGGTGAATGGTATCTTATACAGTTCCAGGTCAATGCTCGAGGGAATAGATTAGTGTGGTACACCCCTGCGATTTGATGGATTAGGCGGGTTATGATGCACACAAATAGAGGGTCCTAACTATATTAGATATCCTAACGTTATATAGAAATTTCCAATCAAACTAGAGTATTACAATCTTATCTCAACACGGAACTTGGGGATAATCATTCGAGTGAAGCCTTCTCACTTGAATTCAATATCGTTTTAGCTGTTTGTGTGCTTAGTTTGTTAGTTTTCAGCAACGTTCTTATCGCTAGATAACTTGTGGTTTACTGAAGTAAGAGTAGACAAACGCCCGAGTTGATAATTGAAAATATACTCGCCCTATACAACACCCGTTGTAGAATTATACTTGGCCTATGGTTGGAGTGTGTAATAGATCGCGAGTTAGGGAACTTCCACTCCGTAGCCACCTCAACCTCCATATTTGTTTTACAAACCCAAAGAGTAAGTCCCTTACTGACTAAGTAAGGAGGCATGTGAAGCCTGAACGAAATACAGTATTGGTTAACCATGTAAATTTGACCCATGTTCTACAATAAATCAAACTTTGGCGTCATTGCTGGGGACTCACAAGCTCTTTACAAAGGGAGAAAGATACATGTTATTTTTGCTTTATATTTATATTTCGAGTCTTTTTTTATTTTTGTGTGTGTTTTAGAATCCTTTTGTTTTTTTGGTTCAGAAGCAAGGTTATTGCTTTCCGCTTCTGAACACTCGTCGAATAGAGGGTTTAGGCAAAGAGATTCCTGTTATATTTACTCTAGAAGCTTTCTTTCTAGGTGGTGTTGACCTAGATTATGAAGAATCGGAGGTACCACTATAATAAACACAACCCTCAGCAATCCATTTGAGCTTAATTTTTTTGTTTTGTTTTTGCCCCTGGCTCATGTTGGCCTCATACATAAAAGGTGGAACATAAATTATCAAGCGACGCGTTCCTTCCCAAAATGGCGCCTTTGCAAGCAAATGTGCCTTACATTGCCCGTTAAATCACCAATTCTGGGTTTCTTGTGTTCGGTCATGGACACTGACTACAGACTACTAAGAAAAAAATATGAAGAAATACTTACGAAAAAATAAAAAGAATACAAATATAAAAGGAAAAATACACACAAAAAAAGGAGAAGACTTCAAACAATTCATAGTCTCAAAATAAAAGTAAAAGGAAAAGAACAAGTAACCTTGAACTTCCCCACACGCGACCTTGAAAGGGATGGCTATGATTCATCCACTCTTGGTCATGAGGGAGAGATGCTTGTTTGCAAAAGAATTGCAAAAGCTTGGTGCAATTCGCATCAACATTAAAAAAGGAGACCAATGAACGACAACTCCTAATCATAAGAAAGAATAAAGAGCACATTCAAGAGTTCCTGTGCTTATATGTTGTTTGAGAATCCCCCGGAGCACACATTAAATGCTCGGCCTAAGGTAGTAGGTATGGTCTTCACCCGAAAGTTTGTGCTTGCACAGTAAGATGATAGTAATGTTCATTCATCTTCGTCTACTCTTCTTTATGCAATGAAGTACTAGAGTGCATTCCCCATTGATATGTCTATCATGTTGCATTAGGTTTGAGTAGGCGCATAATTGTGGGGGAGTTTGATAACATCTAAATTGGTGTTATTTACCTTTCATATTGAGGTTTGATTCGTGCCAATCTGTGTGCATAATAGTTTGAACATCGTCAATTGCATCCCTATTTCGTTCATATTTGAATTCAATGTGCTTTTAGGGTTTGTTAGACGACGATTGCGAATTAGGTACAAAACAAGGTCACAAGTGTAGCAAGGGGGCAGGAGACTGGAGAATGTGGCCTAGAAGAGAAGATCAAGGCGCAAACTTCGCAAAGAAGGAGACGAGGAGAAACAGAAAGCTTCCCTAGTCGAATCACGACAATTGTGTTTTTTGACCGCGAAGAAGATTGCGGCCACGACTCGCGGATTGCGACCGTGAAGTCAGCCCGCAATCTCCTCAATCCCGAAGGCCAATACGACTGCGTTTCAAGATTGCAGCCTCACCATAGAAGATCCCGACCGTGATCTCTGCCCTACACCTGCGAACTTCTCCGTCCTCTAATTGCCTATAAATAGAAGACCCCTTTCCCCCTTTGAAAAGAGCTGATATTGACACACGAATTTCTGGTTTTAGAGAGAGAGAAGAGAGAGAAGCTGAAGGAAGGAGAAGAGAAGAAGAAGGAGAAGGAGTTAGAAGAGAGGAGGCATCTTCCTGAACATCAAGTCTTCTTCCACATCTTTTATGTATCTTCTTCCCTCCTTTATGAAGTAGTCCTCTAAGGTACTAGGGTTCTAAACCCCAAACCCTAGTTTTAGGGTTTACTATGTATGTATGAATATTCTAGGGTTTGAATAAACGAATGTGTTTATCTAGTTGATTCTATTGCTATTCTATCCTTGATTATGCTTGGGTAAGTCGCCCTAATCTTGTCTATTAGCCTACTTTATGCTTATACGCTGGGTATGGAGTTCTAGGGTCAGACGAGTATGCGCCATCAATCAAATTGAGGTAGATGTATGAATAGGGACCTTTGGTGATCGAGGTGACCGAACCCCTGCCATAGGAAGACTTCCTAGATAGAACCCGGGATAAAACCTCGGTGTGGACGGTGGATAGTATCCATTGAAAAGAGGTACGAGCTTAATTCCCCTGGTACGATAGCCTAGATCGAGGTGACTTTATATGAGTCTAGGGTAGGCATGCTCGGAGGTTTGTGGATAACCATGAAAACCTACAGAAACCCAAGTATCTAGACAGTACTTAGTAGCCCTAGGCTAGGTGAGGGATAGTTCCCCGAAGTACCTGCTATTAGCTTTATCAATCTCTAGACTAGTTAATCCGCTCAAATCTTCCACTCAAACTTCAAAAACCGATCGACTAAATAACAACAAGGTGGGAAATAGGCTAGGGTATCAGGACCCGAGTAAAATACGACATTGATTGCCACTATATGACAAAGCCATCTTAGGTTAAACTTGGATTAGGATGGGGTAGTTGTTGACACGTGCTAATCATTGGCAAGTTTAGGATAGGGTAGTTGTTGACACGTGCTAATCATTGACAATAACTTGCATGGACGTAAGTGATCAAGCATCAGCATCTGACATCAGGTAGCGAAGAGCAGAGTGATCGGTGTAAACAATAACCTTTGAGAGAACCAGGTAGGGTCAAAAATTTTCAAATGCGAAAGCTGTAGCAAGTAGCTCCTTTTTCATGGTGGTGTAATTCTCTTGAGCATCGTTCGGAGTCTTAAAAGTGTTTGTCTCTCCGCTGACCCAAGACTGCCCCCACGGCGAAGTCTCTTGCATCGCACATCAACTGAAAAGGCAGTGTCCAGTCTGGAGTTACCATGATTGGTGCAGTAGTCAAACGTCTCTTCATTGTCTCGAAGGCTTCCTTGCATTCTGCAGAAAATTCAAACACTGCGTCTTTCTCTAGTAAACTAGTGAGAGGAAGGGAAAGTTTTGAGAAATCTTGGATGAATCTTTTGTAGAAACCGCCATGACCGAGGAAACTCTGAATCCCATTTACAGATGTTGCTGGGGGTAGCTTTCTAATGGTCTCGGCCTTATCCAAATCCATCTCGATACCATTCTTTGGATATCTTATGCTCGAGCACTATTCCTTCTTGAACCATGAAATGACATTTATCCCAATAAGTGAGAGGTTTGTTTCTATACATCGCTCCAAAACTTTCTCCAGGTTTCGAGGGCAGAGGTCGAAAGAATCCCCAAATGCATAAAAATCATCCATGAAAACCTCTATCATGTCTCCAACCAACTTATCAAAGATAGCGATCATGCATCATTGAAACGTTGTGGGAGCATTGCAGAGACCGAAGGGTATTCTCCTAGGCGAATGTTTTGAAAGGGCATGTGAACGTTATCTTCTCTTCGTCCTCTAGGGAGATGGGAATCTGGAAGTAACCGGACATCCCATCCAGGAAGCAGTAGTAGTCATGACCGGCGAGTCGTTCCAATACTTGATCAAGGAACGGAAGGGGGGAATTGGTCCTTTCGATTAACGTTATTAAGCCTACGGTAGTCAATACAAACCTGCCATCCTGTGACTATCCGTGTATGGATGAGTTTGTTATTGTCATTTGCGACGACTGTCATTCATCCTTTTTTAGGAACCACTTGAGTCGGATTCACCCAAGTGCTATCTGAGATTGGATAGATTATTCCTGCATCGAGCAATCGTATTATTTCTACCTTAACGACTTCCACCATGTTGCGGTTGAGGCAACGTTGGGGTTGAATACTGGCTTGCTCGTGTCCTCAATGTTAATTTTGTGAGTGTAGAAGGATGGGTTGATTCCTTGAATATTTGCTATCTTGCAAGCTATAGCCTTCTTGTGTTTCCTTAGCAGCTGAATGAGGGCCGACTTCTGCTCTATAGTGAGATTTGCATTGATAATCACTGGAAGTTTTGAGTCTTCCCTCAATAAAGCGTATTCTAGATGCTCGAGTAAGGGCTTCAATTCCACACTCAGTGGTTCTTCGATAGATGGTGCAATTCACTTTATTTTTGGAAGAGGTTCCACCTTCTTGTTCGCTTCTTCACCAATTCCGTTATCCCATGCATTTAGATGCTCATTTAGGTTCATTTCCAATGCGATCTCCGTACCTAGCACCAACCATTGTTCAAGAGGTTCATCAGACGCATGGTACAGGGAAGAAGGCACACTATACAAATTGGGTAAATCCTCTGAAAAATTCAACTCATCACACTCCTCATTGGTATGAACCCTAGACTGATTTTTGAATGTGACCTCTTCATTTCCTATT